TGGTGTGTTCTGTGTTTTGATTGGTTCGTTGGTGTGTTCTATATTTGATGGGGTCGTTGGTGTGTTCTGTGTTTTGATGGGGTCGTTGGTATGTTCTGTGTCTTGATGGGGTCGTTGGTGTGTTCTTTGTTTTGATGGGGTCGTTGTTATGTTCTGTATTTTGATTGGGTCGTTGGTGTGTTCTGTATTTTGATGGGGTCGTTGGTGTGTTCTGTGTTTTGATTGGGTCGTTGGTGTGTTCTGTGTTTTGATTGGGTCGTTGGTGTGTTCTATGTTTTGAGGGGGTCGTTGGTGTGTTCTATGTTTTGATGGGGTCGTTGTTGTGTTCTGTGTTTTGATGGGGTCGTTGGTATGTTCTGTATTTTGACGGGGTCGTTGGTGTGTTCTGTGTTTTGACGGGGTCGCTGGTGTGTTCTATATTTGATGGGGTCGTTGGTGTGTTCTGTGTTTTGACGGGGTCGTTGGTGTGTTCTGTGTTTTGACGGGGTCGTTGGTGTGTTCTATATTTGATGGGGTCGTTGGTGTGTTCTGTGTTTTGACGGGGTCGTTGGTGTGTTCTATATTTGATGGGGTCGTTGGTGTGTTCTGTGTTTTGATGGGGTCGTTGGTGTGTTCTGTGTTTTGATGGGGTCGTTGGTGTGTTCTGTGTTTTGATGGGGTCGTTGGTGTGTTCTGTGTTTTGATGGGGTCGTTGGTGTGTTCTGTGTTTTGATTGGGTCGTTGGTATGTTCTGTATTTTGACGGGGTCGTTGGTTAGATGTATTAATATATACTATGACATGTTGTTTTCATTTGGTATTAGTTGGTAGGTTAGATACCTATGTTGTGGGTCGTTAATGTGCTATATAAGTATTGAGTGTTTCGTTATTTATTTGTTTAAATAAGAAGTGTTCTAAACGTATGATGTGGCTGGTATGTGGATGTTATACTGATGATGTTGTTGGTTGGTGCGGTGTTTACGTTAATGTTGTATATGATGTTGTTTGTCGGAGCGGTGTATACTTTAATGTTGTATATGATGCTGTTGATCGGTGCGGTGTATACTTTAATGTTGTATATGATGCTGTTGATCGGTGCGGTGTATACGTTAATGTTGTATATGATGCTGTTGATCGGTGCGGTGTATACGTTAATGTTGTATATGATGATGTTGGTTGGTGCGGTTTTTACGTTAATGTTGTATATGATGTTGTTAGTCGGTGCGGTGTATACGTTAATGTTGTATATGATGTTTGTCGGTGCGATGTATACGTTAACGTGCATATGATGTTGTTGGTCGGTGCGGTGTATACGTTAATGCTGTATATGATGTTGTTGGTGGGTGCGGTGTATACGTTTATGTTGTATATGATGTTTGTCGGTGCGATGTATACGTTAACGTGTATATGATGTTGTTGGTCGGTGCGGTGTATACGTTAATGTTGTATATCATATTGTTTGTCGATGCGGTGTTTACGTTAATGTTGTATATGATGTTGTTGGTCGGTGCGGTGTATACGTTAATGTTGTATATGATGTTGTTTGTCAGTGCGATGTATACGTTAATGTTGTATATGATGTTGGTGGTCGGTGCGGTGTATACGTTAATATTGTATATGGTGTTGTTGGTCGGTGCGGTGTATACGTTAATGTCGTATATGATGTTGTTGGTCGGTGCGGTGTATACGTTAATGTTGTATATGATGTTGTTGGTCGGCGCGGTGTATACGTTAATGCTGTATATGATGTTGGTCAGTGCGGTGTATACGTTAATGTTGTATAAGATGTTGTTGGTCGGTGCGGTGTATACGTTAATGCTGTATATGATTTTGGTCGGTGCGGTGTATACGTTAATGTTGTATATGGTGTTGTTAGTCAGTGCGATGTATACGTTTATGTTGTATATGATGTTGTTGGTCGGTGCGGTGTATACGTTAATGTTGTATATGATGTTGTTTGTCAGTGCGGTGTATACGTTAATGTTGTATATGATGTTGTTGGTCGGTACGGTGTATACGTTAATGTTGTATATGATGTTGGTGGTCGGTGCGGTGTATACGTTAATGTTGTATATGGTGTTGTTGGTCGGTGCGGTGTATACGTTAATGTCGTATATGATGTTGTTGGTCGGTGCGGTGTATACGTTAATGTTGTATATGATGTTGTTGGTCGGCGCGGTGTATACGTTAATGCTGTATATGATGTTGGTCAGTGCGGTGTATACGTTAATGTTGTATAAGATGTTGTTGGTCGGTGCGGTGTATACGTTAATGCTGTATATGATTTTGGTCGGTGCGGTGTATACGTTAATGTTGTATATGGTGTTGTTAGTCAGTGCGATGTATACGTTTATGTTGTATATGATGTTGTTGGTCGGTGCGGTGTATACGTTAATGTTGTATATGATGTTGTTTGTCAGTGCGGTGTATACGTTAATGTTGTATATGATGTTGTTGGTCGGTACGGTGTATACGTTAATGTTGTATATGATGTTGTAGTCAGTGCGGTGTATACGTTAATGTTGTATATGATGTTGTTGGTCGGTGCGGTGTATACGTTAATGTTGCACACAGTTAGATGTATACTATGATATAGATCATTGCTATATTTAGACCTGTATTTTTTATATGTACATAAAGCGTTCGATCGATAGCCACTTTGTTGATATAGCAAATAAATGTCAAATGACATCAATGTCAAATAACATCAAAGAAACAAAAGGGGATAACAAATGGTATAGATTAGTTAAGTCAAAGCTATGCCAACCACAACTGGAAACCAGAAAATTATGACGTTACAACTTACTAACTTTGAGACATGATATGATTGATGAGTGTTGTCTTTTTAACTGTATTGATGTCTTTTGATGACTCGATTTTAAAACGTTCAGTACTATTGATTGTTTAGAAACTGGACACAGCATCAGGCGGATAATAAAGTATTATATTAGCAAGTGCCACTGTAAAACGTTTGATAGATGTAATCCTGGAGTAGCTTCTATGATGCCTTGTTTACTACTAAAACATCAATGAAAATATCGATAGTCACCACAGGCTTTTTTTACAAATTTGGTTTCCAATAAAACTATGGTAGAACACCAATAAAAGAAAGATTTACATCAACACACCTGCAAAAGTGCAATGTGTAAATGACCAGATGCCCCGGAAAAGTAAGCGTCTTCTGCTTAATCGACGACGCCCATAGAAATCTTGGTAAATCTAATAAAAGGCTGCAAGTAAATACTAACAAAATAATCTTTCAAACTCAAATCCAAAACACCTAGGACAAAATATGAACAACAGAAAAATTTACGCGGCAGCACCTGTAAAAGGACAAAGGGATTAAGACCAGGTGTTCCAGAAGAGTAACTCTCTTCTGCTCCATTCACGACGCCTGCCCTAAAAACCTTGGTAAATCCAAGTAAGTAACATCACATTCTAAAGTGAGAACAAGATAAACAACAACGAAACTACAAGGCAAGCTAACGGATATCAACCTCGTCCGACCTCAGGTCACATTGTAGCCATACAGTTTCAGGCGTCGCTATTTTCCAAAGTAAAACCCTTGTCAAACCAGATTTATTTATTACGTTATGGGTATTGTTGTGCGGCATTTTTATCTGATTCTGAAGTAACCGATCGGTATGAGTGGTGCTTATTTATATCTAGGATCAGCTAACCTCATCTAAACACGTGCATTATGTATACAGAGAAAGAAGATCTGTATCGATTTAAGGTCATTATTCCAGTAAATAAGAGACATTTATTCATACAATTGAAACCTAACTCCAAAGTGCATGGAAATTGCTTGTGAGTTATCTTGGAGCTGAATGCACGTAGTCAATCATGAACGGATACTATCTCTTCTGTAATCTAAAAGCATTACGGTTGGAAAGAAATTTTCCAGTAGTAAAGATTTGGTCTCATGTTCACTGATTTGCTGTCTACCTAAATTCTTGTTCTGGAGTTATGCTATTGAAGCTGCTACCTACATGTTGATACGTTTCAAGTTGTGTTTTCTGTGTCAATGAGGCACACCTTACTCACAGATTACTTGTTGTGTTTGGAGATCTAAGCGAGTGTAGAACGAGCTACGTCAAAAAACAAGCAAACTTTTTTTTTTTAATTTTGTACTTGATAAGTTTGTACGTTTTTTTGGTCATCAGCCTTAGTCGGGCTTACAATGGTGCACTTTCTTCAAACCATACACTTCAAGAGCTAGTGTTCATACTGTGTAATGTAATCATTCGTCAAAAAATAAGGAGTTATATGAACACTTGCTAGAGCTCGCCAGTCTTGAGTAAACTTTTCTATAGCCATGTTGAATTAAAAGTATCTGTAACCTCAAGGCAACCCACTGCTCAGGGGATATTTCAAAATAGAAAAACACTACCCTACACAAGGACACAACAACAGAACCGTGTTGTGAAAGCGACCATGAGGAGCCATCAGGAGACAAAGGGATGCCCCACAATGAACGATGAAGTCGCAGGGCAAAACGAAAAAATCGAAACTATGTGCTTTGGTGGTGTGCGTGTATAAGCCATCAGTAGGGCGATGTACACCTGTCCTCGTTGCTGTGCTTTCTGGCACTGTTTTAATGAAAATACTATTGATTCGCCAGCCCTGTTTAATCATGCGAGCGCTGACAGTGTTCCCCAAGCGTGACATATCATAGAAGACACTATTCTAAGTAACAAGCCTACGGTGATATCTCACGAAGTCAGCCTATGGAAATTGTTGAAACATGTGTTTCTTATCGGTGTAAGATGCTGTTGTGTTTCCATGGTTACATATATATTGGAAAATACCGCACTAGAGACGTTCTTTATTGGGAATTTCCTAAAGCATGTCTGGTAATGTGAAGGAAATTCATAATGGAAGGCTGATGATTTTCGCTTGGCAGACCGTTGGACAGCCGCCCTAATTTTAAAACCAATCAACAGTGCTGTGCAAACAGGAGCTGATATTCTACACGGATTTTACGGGCTGTAACCTGATTTGGAGATAACCTACGCGACGATGGACCTTTCCAGGATAATGGACATTCTTCCTTCCTTTGAGGTTGTATTCTAACGTTTCTTTTTTTTCTTACAGACATACTTTTTCCGATAGAAAATTGAATTTTGACAGTTCATCATATGAAACATAATTATCCAGCTAAAAAGCCATATCTTTGAATGATACTTTTTAAGAAATGCATTCACGTTTGTGACGATTTTATTTTCCAAATTATGCAAAGCACGTTATTAGTTTTTTTTATATGTAAAATTCGGATAGACTTATATTCATTTGTAATATTGACAATTAATTTACCTTAAGCTTCTTAAAGAATTGTATAATTCAAACGAATCAATACATTACTATCACTATGTTAGAGTTACAACTGCTAGGCAGATCCTCTGTGGCACATGGACTGTTGCCTGTGTATCTTACTTAATAACAAAAGCCTATTGACATTTAGTATTGATTATGCATATCGTAAAGACAGCCTGACACTGGCACCTCTATCCACCATCAAGCACCTGTTTGAGTACAAAGTTATCTCCCTTACATCCGGGTTTCGCGGAAAGCAAACAGTAATCAGATATGATTTAATATCGAGTTTGCTTTAAACGGCCATGTAAATAAATATCATCAGACTGGATCGATCCACTTGTACACATAACAATGTAGAGTTGATATATTGGTATTACGGCGACTATATAGAACAGCGGCCAGCAGCATTCTCCTCTACGCTGACGTGCTATGAATATTTTAACGTTTCGCTTACAACACAACTGTTTGTTTTCGTACAGCCGTATAAGAGAAGTCGGTCACAGTAAAGCAAGCGATATTGTTGTGATCTCCAAAATGCACCAGTCTTTCTTAGAAGCTGACTGTGCGGTCACATGCACCAGGCGTAAAAGACAGATAAATAGATGTTGATCAGCTAGAGTCTGATATCAATCATTGCTGTTGCTAATACGGATATTATAACATAACATTGCTGTTGAATCGATCAATCATTGATCAGAAAGAGATAAATGTTTTGGTAGTTCATCGCTTCAACCATTTTCACTTATCACTCCAAGACAAAGATAACAAGCTCACACGTGTAGTGCTCTCAACTACCACTCATTGGATATAAAGCTGAATTCGATATATTCTCATTATTTCAGTTTTCAATGAATGCTTGATTGACAATTATCGTGTTGTCACAAAAAGATTGTTGCCGATCTTAATTTACCCGAGAAAATATTGCACATGATATTAGTGATGAACTTCGCAGAAGAATCTAAACGAAGCAATTATGTCCTCGGTTTGTTTTCCCTGAATACTGTGTAAAATAGGACGCTAGTTAAGATCTGCAGTTTAAATAGGAAAAAATCCATTTTATATTTCACACGTTTAATAAGACACATTGAGGGTATTAAATGTAGTGTATCAAATTTCATGAATGATGTCGTATTTGATATACTAAGATGCTACATATACCTCAAAGAAAGACAAGAATTCATTAGAGCTATGCCAATGTAGGTTAATGTCATGCGTAGGTCTCTTGCCCCAGGGAAAACCACACTTTCTGGTAAGACCGCGTTTGACAATGATTTGATCTGGCGAGGCTGACTCCAAGTGCGCCAGTATGGGAAAGGGTACATAGCTACCGACGTTATATCAATACCGTTCTTCTTCCCGTACATAACAATCATTCGCGTGATGCTGAAGATCCGTTTCAAAACAAGAAATAAGGAATCCAGGACAATGTTTAAGACGTATATTTTAAAGCGAGACGTGTATTGAGTTTTAAGTTGCAATAGGGTGAACATTGTCGATTATTGCCGGGAAGAATTCACATTTACAGAAAACAAATTGTGGATTGGAACTTCCAATATGCAGGCTTGGTATTGACTTATACAGTATCTACAACTATTTCATATCTTTTGATTATTCAGATAAATTTTATCTTTTTTTTTCTAACTGCGGGATATTACGTACGTTCATTTAAAATAGCGGGTACAATTCAAAGACGCTACAAGATTGCTTATCCTTTGAAATTTGCGATACCAAATTGTGAAAATAACATTATCAAAACTAAATATTCGGTAAACAAAAGAGGTGTGTGTATGAAACAAAAAAAAATATCATCATTTGCAAAGAAAATCGACATTAAAACAAGCATAATTTTGATTCGCATTTGAAGATCTTGTGATGAGATGGGAAAAGTTTTGATAAATGTATTGATATTTGTTGTCGACTTTCACACTTACTTTCAACTAATATATCTAAATAACACGATGATTATTTTTTTGCAAAAACGTACTGGGTTCTAAGCGTTGTCAAAGGCGTTATCAATGATCAGCTTGTTGAACCCAATCTTGTAAAAGAGCTGCCTATACTTGCCATCGACTATAAATTCGTTACTTGGGGATCAATGTTCTTGTCGTTAGACAGAGTTGTAGTCATCATTGCTATATGGAAGACAATTATTTTGTCATCAATGTTTTACTGACAAGTACAAAAATCAATGGCAGAGCGAGGGGTTATCTCGTGCAAAATTTCAGCCATACAGCACTCAGAACCAAGGTGACAATTCGCTGCAGAAATCACATTGAACAACACTTTCTCAAATGGTTGGCCATTTATACATGAAATATTCACTGTTCAAACTATCATTATCCCTATATATAGAAAACCTGGGTGTAAAAATCATGAGGACCAGTGATATAGCTGATCCAAACTATAAAAGCGTAGATTAGTCTCGATGTTTTCCAGTGACGCGGTATTGGCTCACTGTTGTGTATGTGTCCTGTAGTACTCGTGGACTAGGGATGTTATGAAAAAGACATTACAGAATAGGGAATCAAGTGAAAATATATGAAAAAATAGTGTTTAAATTCAGTAATATAAAGTTAATTCTGTTGGATTATACTTCATAAACTACCAAAATGGAGACTTATAACAGAGTTGGACCCCAGTCACCCAAATGTGGATCAAAAATTTTCAACACCGGCATGGAGTATGGTATGATCTTTTCAAATAACCCGCTTCAAATATATCTGTTTAAATTTATATGAAAAGTAGGCCTCTCTGCGTATCGAATAATTTTGTTTACAGTATTTAGTTGTGCCCATACACAATAGATTTAACTTTTCTATCGAATTTTGATAAAGTTGACTGTGTGAGTCTTAAAGCCTCTAAGCCTATGAGTTGACGTACACGCAGTACATACGTAAATATCATCCAGGAAACGATGGTTGAACTTGGTGTTGTAAAGTTCTTTAATTTCATTTTTGTTTTCATTACGATTGAAACTCAGTCAATGGCTTAAACAAACATTCTGCAGTAACGTTTTTGTTTAAGCTACTGATCAAGTTTCATTCGTAATGCATACTTTCAGCGTGCAAAATGAGAAGCCATGTAAAACATAAAAAATGGAAAAAGATCGATCTTTATTTTGTTGGAATTTCAATTTATTGCAGACTAGATATCTGATGCACTGGCATTTAATGATAATATTATCGTTATCCATAATATTTTTTAAGATTTTGGATTTGTAGGAAAAAAATATTAAATTTATGTGAAATTGATGTAGAGAAGTATATGTGCACTAGTTTTTTAGTTCTAGATGCTTATGAAGTGAAGAAAATGTCAGCATCTGCGATTGATTTACATCTTTAAGTTAAAAAAAATCTGACCATCAAATACTTCAAAAAGTTTAACATTGATCACAAGCTTTTTCTACACCTTCTGTTACTTTGTACATCTGGACGGAGTCTTTGGAAAGTACATGACCTCGTTTGATGTGCTTAAAATGCAAATCGATAATATCACTTCCTGCGTCATTCCTTTACTCTTTTTCAAAGGTCAAATTGATTATTTCACATCCTGCTTTTGCTGCAATTTGTTTCCTTAAACAGCACGTTTAAATACCACAATTCTTCAATTGATTGACGACAAACCGGCGTTAACTTTCCTTGTGTAATGTATCAAAATGCCGATCTTTAATGCTAGAGGTACTGTTGAATTCGTTTCTCTGTAAAACACGAGACAGCCACCAAAATATATTCAAACATTGTCATGTTTCTCCACTTAACTTGACGTGGACACGGAAGAAAATTATTGCACACCGATCTCTTAGATTTGTCTCAAAATTCAAACGAGAGAGGATATTTGAATTAATTTTAAATATTGACCATATTTAGACCTTCAAAAATATCAAAATGATTGTGATATACTTATAACCATCTACACAGACAACAGTTTCTACCTTTTAAAACGATTATGATCTAACTGACTCATAGAACTCACAAAGAGTAATACTATTGTCCATGATATTTACTGTATGCCGTTTTTTTATATTTTAGTAAACAAAATGTATATATATCTTTAAAAAAAACGCACGGATGATCATATAGACATTGTATGTTCAATATACAATCTATGTATTAGCGTTTGGAACTCCGTGAACATCAGTGTTAGTATTCTGCATAAACTTTAAACCATCAAATACCCAAACAGTATACAATGTATTCTGTCTCACGAGAGGAACGCTACTTCATTCTTTTTGGCAATGATGCGCATTACAGAAGCGGTATCCGCAAAGATTATCTTGGGAATTTCAGAAGTGCGGGTTACATTAAAAACAAAGAAAAATATCTGCTCACTCAACACAAAGTGTAGCTCGTTACTGTCATTGACTTATTCGTAATAATTTAACACAGTAAAGTAAGAAGTCCTTTAAATATCTCATGGAAATAGCTAGGTATTCAATATGTTTAAGCCACCTTTAAAATATTTCCGTGCGGATTAATTGCAAGTTTTCCGGATTATCGCATACTCACTGTATACGGATGTCGCTCTAGACCAAAACGTGTGTAGGTGTTATTAATTGTTACAAATTACTCCCTATCTTTTCCGTCTGCTTCTACTTGTTATTGCAATTTAAAGATGACCATACTCAAGTCTTCCAGTACAGCAATTGTGAAGTTAAACTTGAATCTTTGAAACAAATTTTGAATACTAGCCGAAATTCTAAGCGATAAATATTTTCAATATTCAAATTGAATTTGAAGAAGTGCTACTTTATCTAATTCTGATTAGTATTGTGTTGTACATTCCTTTAAGATTACAGGTTGTAGACTCTGTGCACTGTAGTTACGGATGTTTGCTGTAACCTGTCAGTTACGCTTTTAATAAATCGAAAACTGACTCGGTTCAGAATAATTACAAATACTTGACGTTCTTTTTCTCTAAATAAACAGCTATTTGAAGGCTACAAAATTTATTGAATAATAGGACAAGAGCAAAGCGTCTATATTTTAGCATCTATATACCCCTGAGACGTTGTCGCCAATAGTATATAGGATCCTCGCGTACGTACGTGACGTACGTGCCCCAAACGACGTCATCACTCTACAGATTACCTTTTTATCTGATTGCCACGATACTACAGACATATTTTACAAACATCACCTCTTGTACGAATGTCTGTGTTAACCTTCCGTGGTGAAAAACTAGGTCAGCGTTCCTAAAAATAGAAAAAATAGACATCTCAGCTTTTTAGTATGCATATCTTACATTTGAATATGATTGTACAATTTTGCGTTTCAACCTTCTGTGGTCAAAAACTAGTTCGCCATTGCTATAAATAAGAACGGACATATTGTTTAACGTCACCGCTCTAAAGGCTGCATATCTTTTCTGATTGTCACAATACTTCACAGATGTGTTCATAAAACATCACCTCATGTACGATTTGAGCTAGTCATTTAAACCTTTGTCCTACTTACGGAGTACCAACGGAAAAATCTAAATCTAATATAAATGACCCTCTACACTTAAATTTCGTACAATTTGTTGAACGTGAGGTTTCCTACCGTCTGCGATGCCTTAGTTTCAATCAATTTTAATTTTCCGAAGTCGTTTCCATATTCAGGCATGACTGACGAAACCTACAAGGACAAAAAACCTATTTGTTGCAGTTTTACTCATTATTTGATTCTACCGTCTCTAAATGTGTACCGGAAGTTTCTATTCACATGTGCACGTTATATCCTCATAAATGTCTTCTAGACGAATTTAGCATTTCTGGAACCGAGTTGGTTTCGTCAATATATGTGCTGGTATCAGACAAATAAAACATGTATAATATTCAAGTGGTGTTAACTGTACTTTTGTTTGTAGAAGTTTACTATAGCGCTATATTTGGCTATCTCCATGCTTATTTTATCTTCTCTTGTTGTACTTGGTTTTTGTCGATACTAATACTGGTATCAGATACATAGAACATCATACTTGAATGGTGTTTGTTCACCGCACTTTTGTTTGTAGAAGGTTACGTATAGCGCAATATTCTACAGGCATTCGCACAAGAGGTGATGTTTGCCGTATCCTGGCAATCGGATACAAATGTAGTTTGTAGAGTGGCAGGCCTTCCAGGACGGGCATTTTCCCCAATGCTCTGCCTGCCACGCTTGAATTCCGTCGTCTTCCTTTTCACTACAGCATATGAAGGGACATCAGTCCCTAGTGTAGCTACTATATAAGTTTGAATATCCGTAGGTGCAAGACCTTTCTTATACAAATATCTAATAATTGTTCTTTCAGCGATTCTCTTCATTTTTCGAATGTGTGGAAATACTTGGGTTACAACATTTAACTGTTTTGACTCAAATGCAAATACGTAGGCAATGCTTGTTTTATATTGCCATCGATGTATGATTTATAACTAAATAAATTACATAAAACATTGCCTGAATGCCGACCTTTGCAAAGGTCGATAGTATTTAGTGTGGAATTCTGACTATTGGTGTGCGACCATGACAAGATACAATAGCAGATGGATAGTTAAAATCCCTCGGGCTAACGTATTACATGCACGAGAATAACATATACATACACGTGACATTAATTAAGAAATGAGTTTTGCGTGTATTTTACTATTTCCTGTATAGTAAAATATACGTAAGATGTTCAGAGTTAATTATTTACCATATCAGATGAATTAAGGAAATATATTTCTCTGGTAAAATGTGTCAAGGTTCCTGCGACCAAATCCTTCTTGGATCCGACTACAGTGATATTTGGGTGCTGATTGATAAGTTGTGAGTCTTGTATTGAAGAACTTACGCAGGTATGTCCTTTTCCAGCTCTACTATTCCCTGAATATTTAAGTCTGTGTACCCGAAGACTGATGTCATTTGGCAAATTTATGTCGAAAAGATACGACTCTAAAGTAAACAAGGCAAACGACTTCTGCAAATGAACTTAATTACTGAAAGAGCAGCAATTAGATATATACATAAGAATGGTATAGCACCCACGGATATCCATACTGATATGGTAGCAACATGATGATGCCCCTCCATATGCTGTAGTTAAAAGGTAGATGGCGGAATTGAAGCGTGGAAGGCAGAGCCTTGGTTAGGATGCCCGTCCTGGAAGGCCTGTCAGGTCAATGGTCAATAAAGCCCATGCTATTGTTTTCGCTGATAGGCGAGTTACAAAGATATATACATCTAGTAAAGTTGAGAATTCACAGGAAAACGTACATATTATTCTTACTGATGATCTAGCAATGAAAATGCAAAGTTGACCAGAATCACACTGGGCATGACTTGTTCTGTGCTAATCTGAACCTTTTAGCTAGCTTTCTGCAAAGGGGTGTAACTATGGATAAACCGTGGGTCCATCAATTCACCCCAAAGGCCATGCAATAATCTAAAGAATTGAAGCATCCTGGTTCACCCCCGCGAAAAAGGCAAAGACTGTTCCATCAGCTAGGAAGTTTATGGTCTTGGTTTTCTGGGATGATGATGGTAGATTATCTGCAGAAGGAACAAAAAATCAATTTCACATGTTATGCATTCCTTCTCAGGCAATTAAGAGAAAATATTAAACTCAAGCGTTGCGGAAAACTGGGTTAAGAGTTGTTGTTCCGCCAGGACAATGCTCCTGTTCACAAGTCTGTCGTTGTCATTGCTGTCATCAACGACTGTGGCTTTGAATTGAGCATCCGCCTTATTCGCCTGATCTCGCATTATCAGACTTTCATCTATTTCTAAAATCGAAAAACGCCATTTCCGGTACCAACTTTCGGTCACATGTTGACTTCATATAATTAGTCGAGGACTTCAGGAAAAAGTAAAAAAAAGTTGCACTGAGGCCCTTAAACATCACCGACAAAAGTGTATAGATACTGAAGGGGATTATGTTGAAAAATAATGCAATATGTCCGCCAAAAGTCAAACCCTAGAATATGGTTCACAACTTTATCAATCAGCCCTCGTGCAAAAGTGTTAGCATTTAAAAGAACTAGCGTTTGTCGTATGTTTTATTATCATTTTTATGGAAACTAGATTTCTGTTGGTTTGACATAGACAAAATATACTATTGTTGAAATTTTTCGATATGCTGAAGCCGAGCAATATAGCTTTATGTTCAAGATAAAGTCTACAACTATATCTGAAGATAATGTTATAAAATGTGTTTCTCTCCCTGTATATGCACATACTTTTATCACTATATAAATTCACGCACAGACATTCGTGGTTTTCATAAACTGATACAATATCTTTATTAGCGATAGTCTTAAGTAATGTCATGAAGTTTTGTCTTAACAACGGAACCTATCTTTTGTCAGTCACAGTTCTACGGTGTAACAACACAACATGTAATGGATGGCGTTAAACTAAAACCAATCTAATCACGTGACATAAATCGATAGTGGACGTGATATTAATACGACTCTAGCTATTGCTTATTAGAGTACCTTAAATAACCTTAAATATAAACTTACTGTTTTACTTATTCCTAAATACCTTTCTAAAGTAGTGGATAAAATATACGATAGGATAGGAGAGCGAATGGAATCTGTCAACGATATGCCTGTCATTCCTTTTTCATTAGATCCCGTTATCATTTATGTCTAACACTACATGCGTGTATGACTTAGTTTGCAGATCATAATCCAATCAAATGAATGAATGGACTCTCTTCGGGTCAAACGCAACCAAGAGAGCAAGGACTCAAGGGGGATAACTCTCATACCATAACGTGTTCTACAATACAAATACATCGGTTCTCATATATAATTCATTTGTTTCGATTCTGGAAAGCGAGTCATGTATTGAAATAGAGTGCACGTAAATACGTTAGACCGTAGCAGCCACTTGATGAAGGCGATTTGGAACTGATTGCAAGTAGAGATATATTTACCTACTTCTTGCCCGAAGCGGCCGCTAATGTATAGGTATCGGCGATGAGACCGTGCCAAAGCAGGAAATCCATTATGCGCTTATTGGCGACCTTTCGTTGCTCGACACCTTTTCTAAACAGCGAGTGTATGTCTCTATAGGGAAACAGAAGGCTCACTGTGCGTGCGACTTGAGATAGAGTCCACGGTCCAGTGAACGTGAGTTATTAGTAACGTTTAAAGGCAGCCCCTGAGTGAGATGTGTGTATAATGCACACAGGTGAAAATGAACAGATACCCGGATGTGTGTAATAGAGGTGCCAGTGTAAACATATCCGCGATAGAGGATGGTGATCAGCGGAGTGACATATACAGCATTTATGTATTAATACTACCTGACGATACATTTATTCATAGACGCACAATGCAGGTGCGAAAAGTGGTGGTGATAACTAATGTGAAGTATAGGGGCTAAAACGACATTTTAATGACGAACTACCCATGGACCGCGTGGACAGCATGTGACGACTTTCTATATTTGTAACCATGACAGTTCACACGATGGCGATTGATTCACAGGTTGAGGAGGAGCTGAAGAAAAAACTGAAGGACAATGACTGCGGAATGTCAACAATGCTCCAGGCAGCGGCAAGTAAGAATTCTTACATGGATACCATATGAATTACTTCTTATATCTCGATAAAATAATGAACGTACATTATTTAATAAAACCTTGATACATATTTTGTTTTTCAATACAATTTGGTATCTCACAAGTGAGACATGTATCAAGCCTTTATTTCTGTACGACTTTGTTACTGTAAATCCTCAGCACATACCATCTCGTGGTATTCAGTGTTAATCACCGCGAGGCGTCTGATTGTTTCAATAATTTAGCAACACATAATGCGAAATATAACAAGTAATGTCAACTCTTGTGATAACGACAGCCTAGCCTTCACTAAATTAGAACACTGTCAGGTTTGACGATATCACGCCGACTTTCAGGTAACGGTTTTAGTATTGTGGCGACAGATCACGGAAGTAAATCTGTGTTTATTATCCTTGCTACAATGAACATACAGATCGAAGTATTGTGGACACACGGTGTAGTTTGTGTATAGGTTACACGAATGAAATAGGAAGATTTATCTCAACAAAGCTAATCCGCTTATACCATAAACCAGTATACATATTACAACTGCTGAAATGAAATTCCTATTTTGTTAGTATACGGAATTAACAGGAAGCTAGCGTTTCTTCATCGTGTATAGTATTAGTATCAGTTGTGTTTCTGTAATGTATATACTTGTTTATTTCTGAAATATATACGGCAGCATAAAAATGCGATCTATCCCAGTTTAGTGTTGTCATCCGTTTAATAATTTGAGTTTCAAACATAAAATTTACTTTTATTTAGCATAAATATCAATAATAAATAATAATTATGGAGATTAACGTTTGATCTTTATTCTTAAAGATATTTATTAATTCGTTCCATCCGTGAGTTATGAACATGAAACATTTGCGATTTTTTTATTCACTGATGATCTAAATCAATAGAACTGTATTTCTGACGTTGCTATCGTACAGTTTGAAAGTGTTTCCATGGATACAGAATAAGTAATTGAAGATTAACCATTCAATTTGTTGAGTTTATGAGATAATAAACCCGATAAAGCACGAGGTAAATTGCGTAACGGCTTTATGCTATATGAACTAAACAAAATAAGGAAGCCATCTCGATACACCGAAGCGGGGCTATCCTAAACAGGGACGAGGGGGACCACGAACTCTTGAACATCTATGACCAAGTGTTAAACAAAGTGTAGTCGAATTGACTACAGTACGTTGCTACCATCTTGTGTACATTTTTGGAGGTCTATAAGCTGTTTTCAATCACGTCACACTATTTTCGACCTTAGTGTACAAGTGATTATATAGTGAAGCCGAAAACTTGGTCGATTCCTTACCATCTCGTTCTCCACATACGCCATTTGTCTGATGAATGTGACCATGTAGTTATCGAAAAGTCACAATCTTATCTCCTACTGATTGCGTGATAAGAACTTCTGTTCTAATTTCGAGTAAAGTCTTTGTTATGGCGGTTCATGAATGCAAGAGATGTATAAGTAATGTTTATAGTTGACCGGGTCTACGTATACAATCTGCACGCCATATTGGAATAAATAATTAATGATCCGGATTCGGTTAGACAGTGATCCGGAGCGTGTTCTTCTTCTAGACACTGTAAAGTCATAAATAGAAACACTTTCTTCCAGTTCGTGTGTAACTTTCCAAGGATCTTATTTAAGAGGTGAAGGAGAATGCAAATTGTTCCGTCATTTTTTCTTCATTTTTTCTGAAATTTACAGTCCTAGAGGATTTCCGTACGAGTTTCACTTATAATGTTTCCAAGGTAACCATGGATGGTCTACTTTATAGAAACTGCCGATGTTTAATATATTGCCCCACCATGCTACCACACACTACCGCGCTCGTGATGGTAAAGTGTGTGCCAGAACCTTACATACAGCCGTTCATTTTGACGTAAAACCAAATCAACACGTTCATTGTGTTTTAATCATCTTTAAATCCCTTTGGCTTTTTTCTTGCGTCTGAATACTGTACCATTGTTTAATCATTTTCCAACAGCCGTAGGCCATAAATTGTTTCCTTGGAACCAGCGTTGTTTAAATAGGGCAGAGTCAATCTTTCAATAATGGTTTACTTCATGGTAATGCTCTTAATTACAAGATTTCAATTATGAATGATCGGTGACGCTAATGGGCTGTTTCCATAGTGATATAGCAACATAAACATGCAAACCCGATATAACGACTGTCATTTAAACGAAACGTCTTGTTCGCCACCTGAAGTGTATTTCGTCATGGATATATTTGTTAAACATCTTTATGTCGACAGTAGACATACTGTTACTATAGGAAGATAAATTTATATTTCTCAATTGTCAATTTTCATTGCTGTAACTTGCGATGGATATGTAGTTAATTCCGTTTCGTCCCTAGAAATGCCAGCAAAATTTTCAGACTGGTCAGAAAGAAAAATGACTTGCAGGCAGAAAACATAAATGAATTGATCGTTCTCAAATTCCAAACACATAGTAAATATATTTCTATTGTTTCACGGAGAGTCACAATCCTGCTGTCCTAGTCAATAGTGTCTATGATATGTTCGATATAATACTAAAGTGCTTGTTTCCGATATCACGATTTCCTTGCAAGACGTTAACAGCCGATAGATGGACAACAAAAGGTATCAAAGGACGCAGGTTAATGAATACTTCAATGAGTTTCACTATCGTCATGTTCTCGTTGGGAAATATTTTATTTTCTTGTGGAAAAAAAATTGGTCCATACTCTTCAGTATACCTGGATTCGTTGTTGTTCTTGTTCTCATTTGAGAACATGACATTACTCATACGGGTTCTCCAATATTTACATGTCGGATGAAATAGAAGAGGCTTATCCTTCCTGATTGATTTTCCCGTTTGCTCACAGATGTAGACGTGTCGGTAACTTCTTCATGGCTAGTACTTTTTCAGAGAATACAGTTTTTTATGTTCATATTTTGCACTAGCTTCATTGCATTTGACATGTCCGTGTTTCTTTGGTATTTGTTCATCCATATTAAGTATTACGGCGCTTAATTAGCTAATCACGGTTGTTTTGCAACAAAAAAAAATGAATTCAGCAATATAGATAAATGTATTTCATCGCTTTGAATTATTGCATATCTGTTGTTTGAATGTGTGATTAAAACAATGCACTAGTTTCTCCTGGTGGTTATGAATCCCACTCGCATTTGTTTCACAAAACAGTCCAATCCCATTTAATTCCATAAAAATCACGCAATCCGTGATCGCTAGGCGAAGAGAGGGATATGTATCATTGAAACACACACATATATATGTAAACAAATCGCTGTTATACTAATTAAATATCCAGAATAATTATAGGAAATGTCATGATTAGATCTGATGATGAGTGTTACTCTGTCTAGTCACTTACATTGCAGTCGAACCAATAAATTCACGAGAGACAATGCCATGTATACAATTCTTTTTTTTATCTAGTATCAGGTTTTGGAGGTCTGAATCCTGGAAAATAAAGTTCACATTCATACCAATATCGTAATGAAATGTACAATTTTGATAATGGAGTAAGGAAATCGATATGAATACACACTGGATACCGAAAGGCCACTTTTATTTTCATACTACAAATTTAATTGGCTCGTACACGTGCTTGGAGACGTTATGATTGGTGATCATGAGTTAGTGTATTTAAAATTGAAGAACACGGCTTATTTTTTTCATCTTGAATGAATGTAAAAATAGTAATGAAGTAACAAACACGAAGAACCACCATAGCAGTAACTGGAAAAAAATATGACTAGCGTGATAAAGCCATGCTTCAAATTATTTGTGCCACATACTTAAGAGAGACGTAGGTCGATCAAGTATTGTGCGTGGATGTTGTCGAGTGGGCATCCTTCGCCAAAAACAAAAAAGGTATCCGTAAGCGAAGAGGATAGATACAACTACATATCGATCATCACCGTGTGTATCTTTTTATGCAAGGTACAGATTTACCGTAAGTCACTCAGATTTCGCGAATACTTTATTTCGCGAACTTACGTCTTCAGACATATTCGCAACTGCACGATTTCGCGAACGGTTGTCTAGAAATGACTTTGAATGACACTGGTATTGATAAATGAAACAGCATGGATGTCATCAAGACTTATTTCCGTGCAAATAATTGCGAGGGATTTAAATTCGCGATTGATTCTCCTCGCGTATTAGCGCGAAAATAAATTCCACGCAAATGTAAGCGATTAACTGTAAAAAAAATCAAAATGCAGATCATTTTACTGTTACCAACAAAACAATGTTATTCAAAATCCTTTTTTATCATTTGCAAATATTTTCAAAAAGTACAAATGTTTACACCAATACGCAGTTTATGCGGACAGCATACCAAGATACAGTATACGATGTAAGCTATTTCTTGCTTTATCTTACAACATCTTTTGTAGGCAGTAAATACCTCGTATTCATGGGTAAGAAGTGTATGATGTTATTTCCGGATGAGCGATCAGGAACTATGGAGTATGTGTCCATCATACCTAGCCTCTCACCCGGAACTTTTTCTGCACACAAGCGACATATTCATAGTTTTAAAGTATGTCCTTGAATGGAGTTTTACTGTCGTCTTTCAGAAATGAAACGAGATACGAAACATGATGTGGCATTCTCTAATGACTGAAAAAAACTGTTTTTATGTGTATGAAGCAGACGTGTGTTACATACTAAAGCTCTAATGACGGCAGTCGAAATTATATGTCTCCGTGTTGATTTCAATAACATTCAATGTCGCGGTAACATCGTTGTATACGCACCAATCATAAGACAATTCCCACACACTTATTTCCTTAGTGGTGATAAACATGGATATAATTAACATTTGAAAACATTTTATTAGTTGTAAGTTAGAATATATATTAAGTTTAATCAATACAAGACCCATTGATTGCCACTGTGAGTGCTACGGAATACGAGATACTTGAGGATAATGTAAGGGAAAATTGGAGAGTATGAGCCAAATTGAGTAAGTCACTCCAACCAAA